TGCCTCGGTCTGGTCTGCTGCCAACTACAGATGAATATAAAAGTTGCACTACACAAAACAAAGTTGCACACCTCAACAAAGCAATGACAAAATGCATTTCTTAATTGATTTTTATCTATTTCATCCATTCGTTGTTGCAACCCTAGTTCACTTTTTTGACTGATTTAGCAGGTCAGCCACTTGGTGGATTCCATTCCAGTTATCCTCTGATTAACTGGGAAAATACTTGACTAAAGTAATTCTTAAATTATGGATATGTTTCAATAAAAAGTTGAACATTATTAGCTCATAACAATGTTAGCTTAATGTTTTTATGTTGCATTGTTAATGTTTAGTCACATTTGGACACTTATTCACCCAAATTTATAAAAATGCAAAACTGAAAAAAAGATTTCTCAATTTTATTCTAATATTCTGTAATTTTATTCTAAAAAAAAATATATATATATATTCACCCTTTGATAATACCTGGTGTCATTGTACATTTAGCCTGACGAGTCACCAATGAGGTCTAACTTATGAGTGTGTGTTGGTGGAATAAGGAACACAGCTGAGCATGGGGGTAGTGCCATCCAACATAGCTTCAAGATCCTCTGAAATATTCTCCTGTTAGTGTTTTCCATTGTTTTAATGCTAGTTGACCTTCAACAAGTCCTGGTATAAAATATTACACAGTTGGTAACATTACAGGGGATAAACGAGTGGCCGACATCTCCTTTCCAAACTTAATTTTGATTTTAAAACGGTATTATTCTAACAAAGCTGCTGCTGCACCACATCACTCTAGAGAGACATGCTGAAGCCCGTAATGATGTCACATTTTCCTATTCCAGGTGTTGCCTCATTTCCAGCAGACATCCATCTGATGCAGCCCATATTATCGTTTCAAGAAGCACCTATTCATGGATATAATTATTAAAGCTGTCTGATTCCCAGACAAACACACAGGCCACCTGTTTCTTTGCAATGAGGCATTAGTATCCTGCTGTCTCTTTGTCTCTTGTGTGTTTATTGTGTTTATCAACAATAGCGGAGACATTTAGTCTGTTGATTTCAGGCTGTACATTTTTGGTAATGTCCTTATCAAAAATCAGTATTCTGCACCTTAAAGAGCAAGTCACCCCCAAATAAACTTTTTTTTGCTGATAAACTAAATAAATGAGTGTCTAATCGTGCTGCAGACATGTGTCGTCAATAATTTGGCACTTCAGTGCATCTTAGATCAAATTTAAATATTCTGCCTAAAACTGGCAGTGTTGTGCCATTGTCAGGTAAAAACTCTGCACTGTATTTTAATTTAAATCTGCCACCGCTATTGGCTAAGAAGTATGCTATGATGTAAACTGGTACATTATGATGTCATAATGCTGTTGTGAGCCTGAGTGTGTGTGTATTTGTTAGCGGCTCCGCCCTCTCAGTCTGCCAGGCAACAGCATTTGTTGCATTTTTCAAACACGAAGTGGGAGTGGGGTTAGACTCTGGTAGGGGTTGACTTGCTCTTTAAAGTACTCAACTGTAAGTACTGGCCCTATGTTTGGACAAATGTCCTATTCGAACATCCCAAATCCTATAGTGATTTTTGTCTCTTTATTTAATTAACATTTTTCCATCAATGTCACAATTTTCTTGTCTCCAAAAGTGACATTTGTGTTTAGCTTTAGATAAATTCATTAAATGTACAGTGATGAATCCTTGCTGTCTTCCTCTACTTGTCTTTTGTTCCACCCCCTCCACAAACGGTGCTTAGTCAGCTGGTTTCTGATTGTTTCTCATACATTTTTCCCCCTTTTTACCATTCTCGTTGGCTCATGCATATAGCTGCAATTCCACATAAACCTTTTTGCAGTTTTTTTGCTCCAAACTAATTGAGGGTGCTTTGCCAGGTGCCTATGAGTTTTCAGGCCCCACAGCCTTTTAAACAAATGGTATATGTTTTCCAGTGAGTAATGAGGAAGGCATTTGTGCAGGATGTTCCTCATTGCTAGACCATTAGGAGTCTCTGGAGGTTAGATGGATCATATTTATGCATCTTTCAAAAATGTCAGTCTGATTAATCTTGGCACTGAGATTAAATGTTGCACAATGACGATTTTGCAAAATTCAGATTCCGCAGAGATGCTGATTCATAAAAAGGGAAAATCTCAATAAGGGCTTGTTGCAGTTTCTAAATGGGAAAGCATCCCAAAAACAAGAGAGTACAGTTTGAAAGGCATTAATTCCTACCAGAGACCACCGCAAATAGTGAATGTATCCAATTGTTGGCTCATTCTCACCTTTCTTTGAATCATCAATCAAAATAACTTTATTTGGCTTAATCATGACTGGGTGTTGGAGACAACAGGTTCAGGAGAAAGAGCCGGACACCGAAACCCAAGGATTGCCCATACAAGAAAGGGTATTGTTCCAGTGGGGCTTTTTAGGACTTTTCTAGGATCTCTTCTAAATAGGACATGCCTTAAAATCCTCCACCAGGTGGCCTTCTGATTAGACGATTTATACAAATCTTAATACAGAACAGTAACTTTTTTTATGCTCCTGCAGCTCCTCTCGCCAATGCTGTCAAATAAATCCCTGACCTGGAATGTCTGCAGACCTAAAATAAGTATTCCAGTTGTAATTCAGCAAACCAGTGGCCAGTCATCGTGCTATGTGAGCAGGCTGACCACCATTAGCAGTGATAGCCAACCTTGTTTTGTTTCCTTCCATTTAAACACTGTATCCATATTTTTGATTTTGAGGTGGGGGCTGGTCCAGAATCTTTGAATTTCTGAGTTGGATTTCCAATTCCTGTTGATTTTATCCAACTTAAAACCTCGGAACTCTATTTTTTATGTACAAATGGAATTCATAATATCTCTAAGGCTAAGACCTTAATGACCTCCATGGGGAGCAGAAAGGGACTGGTTAGTAAACCGGCTTCTGTTAACAAAGTTCTTTAAGATCTCTGCAGTTAAAAAGATTAGTACCCTACACTTGTTTTAAACTAAGAAAGCCCCTCAGATGAGAAGTGACACATACAAATAAAGATATGCATTTTCCTTTTATGTCCTGTCCTTCTGATGCCAAGTCAGCTACTTGAACGTAGAGCCCTCTCTGAAAGGTTTACAACTTCTTTTTTTTTTGTCTGTTGTTTAACCTTTTCAGTTTCTGCCCCAACATTATTGTGTCAGCTGAACTCTTACTTGTTCTTCAGTGTCTGAAATGATTTGTGCCAATGGTTGTTTTCAGTCAGTCTCTGTGACATTTAGTTTTAGGGAAGTGGAGTGAACATTAGCTGAAATAACACAGTCGGGCTGTAGTAGCTAACCTTTTCATTGCTGAAGCAGATTCTAGAGATACAGAAACTTTTAGACAAGATATAGAAAATGTTGGCATCACCATTCAGGGTGAGATATCAGGACCTAATTCATTTGTGGCATTTTATGAAACTGCATGCAAATGAAGAGATTATGATGAAGTAATTTTAAAGGTTTGCAATTACCTAGTATTTAATCATGATAGATAAAAGGCAGCAACAATTTTATTGGGTTGAATTCCAAATAATAATTATAGATCAGAATGATTTTCTTAGGTTAGCAGAGGCAAAGACCCCTGCTGGCCAACTGGTAGAATGCAAATGCAAGATCCAACATCTACAAAAATAGTTTTCTGCTCTTTAGCTTTCTGCATCCGTTTTCATGTTAAATTACCTACAATTAAACACAGACGCTTATGTATGGGTACATAGTCAAACATTTTTTTTTTACTCGCTGTACGTTTACTGGCATCAAAAAGGGAGTAACACAAGTCTTAGAACTCCCAGAATTCTAACTTGACTAGAATTCCCAGTAATCGTCAATTTGACGGCTGTCCTTTTGGACATTAAATGCAGGTTCAAGTGTGATAGTAATTAACTCATTATGGACATGTGGACTTAAAGTGACAGTGTGTATTTTCTCTGGATAGGAGGCAGTACATACCTAAATCATTGCAAGCAAGCAGCATTTTTGTGTTCAAGTAAGACCTTACCAACGGATAGCCATTAGGGTCAAAAATCCCTGGAAGTGGGGGGTGGTGGTGTCGTCTTCTGAATTTATTACATATCAATATATGGAAACAGTCAAAATGACTGTCTTGGGAGTTCTAGTGTTAAAGCATTTTACACACAAAAAAGTCTGAACAACTAGTTCAGATAATGTAAAAGAGCTTGAAGGCCTCATTGTTAGTTTCAAAAGCAGAGTGGAAATGTTTTTACTGGGCAGTCATGAGACAGCAATGAATGGATATATGGAATGGCAAATGTGGCAAATGTTTAAATTTAAAAGCATTTAAACATTGTACGTACCAAACCAACACCCTTCATATTAAAACTTCATTTAGCCAGTTGACTACATGCAACAAACCTGGTATGAGTAGTTACTTCTACATAATCTGTAACGCTACAGTAAATCACAAAGCTCATGATGAGTAAAGTCTTATTCTGTCTAGTTTTTGTTTTTGTTTCTGCCACCATTTGTTTGTTTTGACCAAACAGCACCTCATCAATTGCACTTGCTGCTTGTGCCACCATATTAAAAGATAAACAAAAATTGAGTGAACATACTTGTCCCGAGGCTCTAAACACACTTTTTTTTAGAGCATGCACACATCAAATATCGAGCGCACACACAAACTGCACGCTGTGCCATTTAAAATGATATATATTTTTAGCTGCGTGTATCACCCAAGGCAGATGGCAATGAGTTCCATTCGGTGTGTCCAGCAGCAGTTTCACCATTAGGCCTGATGTAATGTCCGCTCTATAATGGAGCCAGAGAAAGGCTGCATTAAGATCCAATGGTTTTTGTACACAGGCTAGACTGGGGCAAAGTGTTCCTTCTTTTGTTCATGCAAGTTCCTTAATTGTTCCTATTCTTTCAGTTTCCTGACCTCTGGATTTATCTTGTAGTCTTTTATGACACTGTTTCCTTCTCTGTTCTTTTTTCCCCCTGGGATCTTTTGTGCACCAATGCAACATGCAGATCTTCATCGGAGAGGTTTCCATGTATGTGATGAAATCAACAAGGGAAGCTCTCCTGGCCCAGGAGAAAACCATAGTGACGGGAGACTGTTGTTACCTCAACCCCCTAATCCGCCGCATCATACGCTTCATTGGTAAGAGCTCTGTTGAGGAATTCATGGTCAGTGGTTCTGGGCAGTAGCTGTACATTCACATGTGCAGAGTTGGTGTATTTTTATCCTTTCTTTAATAATTCACACAAAACTTACATTACTTACACAACAGAAAACACGGTCGAGGTCTTCAGATCACCAGCTTTAGGGTCTGAAGTTTGAGTCGGTATGTTGGGCAGCATGCAAGATCCACGTCCTCTAAAGTATTAACAGAGCATAAATGTTTTCATTAAAGTCATAAAGGTGTTATGACAAGTGAAGATTAGGAATGTTCGACTTAGATCTTCAGGCCTAATGTCAGGAAAGAAAAAATGGAAAAAACTTCAACATAACTGGAAGAAATTTGCCAGGAAGGACATACAGAAGTAAGGGAGGAAGGAAGTGAATGAAAAAAAACAAGGAAGGATGAATAGGTGAAGAAAATCATTAAAAGGACTGAAGTGAGAGGAAGTGAGGGAACGATGTGTGGAAGGAAAGGAAGTCTGGTGGGAAATGTGGAAATGGGAAAAAGAAATGTGGTGGGAAAGGAAGATAGGAAGTGTAGAAGGAAAGTAGGATGGGAGTATGGAGGGGGTAGGAAAAGAAATCTGGAAGGAAATGCTAAAACAAAGGAAGGAAATGTGGAAAGGGAAGAGATTCGAAGGGTTAGAGGAGCAACTTTTTTAAAAATAAAGGAGCTGTAGAAAAAAGAAAAAGAGGTTGGAAAATTATGAAAATAACGGAATAAAGATTGGGAAGAAGGACGGAAAAGCAGGAAATGAGCCAGGAAAACAAGGAAGGATGGCTGAATCTATAAAGCCACCTAGCTCCATTCTTCCATTATTTGAATTTTAATTTTGCAGCATAAAGATTTAGTGGAAATGTGCAGAGTGAAATACTTCCAGTGAAAAGACTGTTCCTGTATTATATAAACAGTACTAGTCTCATCTGAAATTATACCGTCAAATTGCAAACCAGGTTTCAGATACTTAGCAGGCAATTCACTTTATATGTAATTCCATCTGTTCTTGAGCAGTTGAACAATTTCTTCCATTTGAAGGATCGCCAAATCCTTTTTCTCCCTATTCTCTCGCTCCTTCCCCATTTGCTCTCTCCTCACGCTAATACCCCTACTCCATGTCCCTCGGTGCCCTTCACACAATCCCTGTACCCCTCGCAGACACCCAATCACACACACACACACACACACACACACACACACACACACACACACACACACACACACACACACACACACACACACACACACACACACACACACTGAGCCACCACCTTGCACCCCAAGCCTGGATGACAATACAAAGGACAGTAATTTCATGGCTAAGCAGGCTAGATAATCAGCAGCCATATTTCACAGCAAAAGGAAGGCAGGCACAGACACTGGTCAGGGTTGGTGGGCTATAAGTGTCAGTGCAATCATTCATATTAAATGCTACTTTTCTTTTTCGTTGTCTTTGTTTCCCTCTCTGGTTCAGCTTTCCTTTCCCGCTGCCGTGAGATTGCATTTTAATTCACCTGATGTGGCCCCGGTACCACCTGAAGAGCAGGCTGAGCACAATTTGCATAAACGATCAAGTTTGTTCATTCAGGAAATATCTACTGTGTATTCGGTGGAGTGATTAACTACATAATCCACATTCTCATTTAATAAACTCCAAGCTGATATGTAATCTAACCATTTTAAAGGAGTTCAGCTGGTGGATTTACTATTAGTTGAGCTAATCTTGGTGAATTCTGCAGCATCAAACGTAGAGGATTCCCATGCCAAACCGCAAAGTGGGAATTAGCACCATGATAGAAAATAATCATTTTTCCTAGGAATATATACAATGTTAACATGATATTTTCAGTTATTTAGCCACACTTAATGAGTGCTTTGAGCTCATCTGGTGGCTTGGGGAGTTAAACAGTCTCAACCCAATTTCATACATGGCATAACTGATTGGAACATGTATGAAGCATCCTTTTTGTGTCTCATTTCTGTTGGTTTTCATGCACTCATCTCTCTCTGTGCCCCAGGTGTGTTTGCTTTTGGCCTGTTCGCCACAGACATCTTCGTCAACGCAGGCCAGGTGGTGACCGGGGGCCTCTCACCTTACTTTCTGTCTGTCTGCAAGCCCAACTACACAGGCGCCGAGTGTCGCTTCAATCACCAGTTCATCATCAATGGCAACATTTGCACTGGGAACCCTTTTGTTGTGGAGAATGCACGCCGGTCATTCCCGTCCAAGGATGCTTCTCTGAGTGTTTACTCGGCCGTTTACCTGACGGTAAGTGTTTCACAGACAGAATCATCAACCTATGGTGTTGAAAACTGGTGGTACTCAAGCTTCCTATACCCCTACTTCACACTGGAGGCATTAGCAGTGCGGTACGGTTGACTTACGAGTTTTGCTGCATGCCGGTACACATTGGGAGAATCTCAGCGGTGGAGCAGCTTCTCTGGCTCGTAAGATCACAAAATCCCTGGAGACGTCTGCTACCCTCGATTGACTCGCGAGATCACAAGACCCTTCGAGACTTCAAAGGTCACGTTTTTTTAATGCCATTCGCCATTAAACAAAAAACAAGGAAATCACATTTGGTGTCACTGTTTGATGTCATATTTGCTGTTGTTCCTCTCCACTGCCAAGATTAAAGCCATGAAAAACACACTGCTGCACTTCCAGAATGATGCTGAGAGTAAATAAGCTGTTGGGTCATATTTTTTGATGTTGTCTATAAATATGAAATTGATGCAATAGTCTTTTTTTTTATTACCAGAGGTTTTACATTGAAACCATGAGCGATTTCCTGTTTAGTTCCTGTCTTGTTTCCCTATGTTAACTGTGGAAATTAACGTGTCCCAGAAGCAGCTTGAGGCAAAAATAGAACCCGACCCCATCTTTAGAGGTGTGGTGTGCCACTCCTGAGACACGCCTAAAAGTTTTGTGTCGCGGCTGGTTTGAATCACCCCATAGACTATAATAGATTCTATTTGAACAGCAATGTCCTGCTGCTGTTCCACGCTGCTGATGTTTCCAGTGTGAAATAGGGGATAGTGGTGCCAACCTTTCACAAGTTAAATAGATAGCTAATTAACTTTTATAAGCTGAAATGTGTTTCCCTGTAAAGTAACCTCATTTCAGAATAATCATGTTTATTTTTCAGATACCCATTGCTGCATTTAAAAGCATTTCCTAAATAGTTTGTAAACTCGCAGCAGTTTCACAAGAAGAAAGAAATGGGAGTTTAATTGGAATATACACTATGTCAAGGCTAAAGTTACAACACATTCTCATACCCTAAGCGTCGGAAACAAACGCTTGGTCAGCCACCCTCCACGTCAGACCCCAGACGCCAAAAGTGCCCTTTTTCGTTACATGTGCGAAAAGGGGTTTTTCCCTTTTGTAACTGCAGATCCCAATGCAGCGTAAAACTGACGTGATTAGATATCCGCTGATGTGGCACCGAACCAGCTCGTTTAACCGCACCTAAACCTTAACGTTTCACTATTTATAACCTTCCCCTCTCCCTCATCCTAACCTTAACCCTCTTGCTACCTAAAACGTTACTCTCTCTGTGATCAAGCATTCGTTTCCCATGCATTCTGACTCTGACAGTCAGAGTCTGACTGTGAATTTTCGTATTTGCCGCCCAAGGGGAACGTTAGAACATACCATCTGGCGAGGGGGAGGTTACAAATACCCTCTACTTTTAACCTCCACCTTGGCAATTGAAACCTCCCCCTCGCGTTGGCTCGGTCCAAACCCGACCAATGGCGAGGCGGTTCCCACCGTTCACTTCATAGAGCCGGCTTTTAGAGCGATCGACACATCACTAACGTGTTCGCTAGCAAGGTGGTTAAGGTTAGGATAGGGGTAAAGGGAAGGTTAAATAAGAGGATAAGTTTAAGGTGAGGTACAATGAGCTTGTTTGGTGCCCTGGCTGCGGACATCCCATCGCGTCAGTGTAACGCTGCATTGGGATGCAACGTAGTGGACATCCCATCACGTCAGTTTTACGCTGCATTGGGATCTGCAGTCAAATAAGGGAAAAACCCCTTTTCGCACATAGTAACGAAAAAGGACACTTTTGGCGTCAGGGGTCTGACGTGGAGGGTGGCTGACCAAGTGTTTGTTTTTGACGCGCTGGGAGTGAGAATGTTTTGAAAGTTAACATTCACACAAAGACACTTTGACAATCCAATTAAGAAACTATATCAAAAATCAAAAAGTGCATCAAACCGAAAAGTATTGTATCTACTTTATTTGGGTTTTGTTTGTGCTGGTGAAATATCAATGCCAGTAGGGAGGTACATAAAAAAAATCCATTGGCAACAGAGGGGCGTTACATTTGCAGCAAGGTAAAAAAAAAAACTGTGTAGACCGCATTCTTGTTCCAAAATCAGAATATCAGATTATTTTGCATTTGAGGCATTTATTGTTAGATATTCGATTACAGGCAACATGGATGCCACCTTCTCCCTTTAAAATGTGTTACATGGTATACTAACCATCAGATTGGAGTTAACTGGTATGAGATCTCTTCTGTGGTGTACAATACTTTTGCTTTTAGGAGAAATTTGCAAGATCAGACTTCATTGTTATTTAAATTATCATCAAGAAAAATTGGCGCTACTCAGGTTGGTGAAACAGTAGTTTCCAACCTGTTGTTGCATCTCGGACTGGTTTTGTAGAAGATCATTTCTCCATAGACAAAATGGGTGGTGGGGGGTATTCACGTGCATGACTAAATGCCATAAAGTGCGTGACATAAAATCTATTTTGTAACACACCTAAAGCAAATGCAATTATTATGCACTTCATATATTTTAGTTGAACTCTTGTTTCAAAGTTTAATGAGAGAGCAGGTCGTGAAATTATACTTTCCTCAGGAAGACTGGATGTACTTGTTCCCTTATTAGGTTCAAGTTGTAATAATCAGAGACGAGACAAAATTCAATGTTTTTTCCTTTGGTACAAGGTTTTTGGTTAGAGGTCTATTTGAAGAGAAATGGGTCTTGCTAATTACACAGAACAATAGAATGAACAGGAACTTCACATTTTTAAAAATCTAACTCTCTTGTTTATTTTCTATTTTTCTTTAGATGTACATCACCAGCACTATCAAGACCAAGTCCAGCCGCCTGGCCAAGCCCGTGCTCTGTCTGGGCATGCTCTGTTCAGCCTTCCTCACCGGTCTCAACCGAGTCTCAGAGTATCGAAACCACTGCTCAGATGTAGTGGCTGGGTTTATACTGGGATCAGCCATTGCTTTGTTTCTGGTAAGCATGAGACTAATTTGTCGTCTTACTTTTTCAGAGACTTTTTAAGCAAAACATATTCTGAGGTGGATTCTGGTAAGTTATTTTCAACATTCAGTTTGGAAAAGACACAAATTGGTAATTACAGAATGGATTCAAGCCATCTTTCCTTACCAAAGCTTGGATTATATGCTTTTTCCATTACAGAGTCATTAATGACGTACGTTTTCTTCTGTTGTGTTTTCACTTGAGGCTTATTTCTCTTTTTTAGGTAATAAACAGGAAAACATCCACACATAAAGATGTAGAAAGAACATAAAAACGCAGTGGAACATGTTTTATATACTGTGCTAAAAGAGGGTTGGATACATGTAATGCAGGGTTGAGGGTTGGTTTTAAGCATCCATTAGTTGATTGGGTGGAATAATCAAGGGAAAAGGAGCTAAAATACTGATGTGGCACTTTTACTGGGATCAGCAGTTACACTGGTTTCCTCAACACATGCTGAAGAGAAGGACAGGAAAAATAAGAGAATCTCAGATGAACGTCAGATTTAATCAACTGTGGTGCTTTAGTCCGAGATGAATAAAGGGAGAACCAGTGATCCCTTTAATTCCAGTGAACTCCTGAGGTGCAGGATCTTGTTAATCTACCCTATTGAAACAACATAATATAGCAGGGGATACCTGCATAAACCTCCCACACAAGACAGCAATTTTCCTGCTCATCTGTCCATGCGTAAAATCAAGATCAACCGCCTGTGATGTGCTGTCAAACAGCACGGCGTTCACTTAAAATTAAATTGACTTTGTCAACATCAGCGTTCACGCTGTGAGTTTAAAATGCCTGGTGTGATACACAGCTCAAACCCCAAAGACTATGTGGGTTGAAGTGGAAATCCCACTGAAGAGGAAAATAGGTAAAGGTATTCAGAAGCATCACTCATAACGTCCACTGGGCCCGAGGCGCCAAAGCAGGAGGAAGTCTGAGAATAAGGTACAGACATGAAGGGAAGACTTTCACAGGAGGAAATGAGGGATTAAGATATTGGGGCCACTTGGCGATGCTGATATTCTTACTTTAAAGATGGACAACCAGTAGAGTAGCAAACGTTCTGGATGAGTCAGCAGATGTCTGTCCACTCTAGTGCAGTGTGTTAACATGCTGAAGCCACAGATTTGTCTGGGGTTATCAGTGATATATAGGAAGAGGAATTTCCCATATTTATGAATGGATACTTCCTCCAAATGCTCCACAATATGATTTTCTTATTTACTAAATCGCATGTGGCTCAAAAGCATCTTTCCTTTTTGAAGTGCAAAAAATGTCCAAAGTAAACAAAAGTCTGAAATAAAGTTGGGTTTGTAATAATAATAATAATAATAATAATAATAATAATAATAATAATAATAATAATAATAATAATAATAAATGCAGGATTTTGGTATCAGTGATTATGAGTGGAAATATTCCTAGTTCATTTCCTGTTTTTTTGGCTTATGTTAAACATTTTTTTGTGCTGTATGGTAGGGCAGTTGGTAATAATGTTGCCCCGTAACACGAAGGTCACAGGTTCAAACCCTGGCTGTTGTCTTTCTGTGAGGAGTTGGCATGTTCTCCCAGTTGCATGAGTAGGTTTTCTCCCACAGACCAAAACCTGCATGTAGACTGACTGGAGACTCTAAATGGTCTCTAGGTGACATTTAACTGTTTTGCCTTCTTGTAAAGAGAAACGAACTTGTTTAACACCAGAGCCATACGCACTGCACCGTTATCTCCATCACTGTAAATGAGGGAAAACAACAAATTGATAGGATCCTTTCCAACCTTTTCAACATTGTTTATTGTAAAGTTTCGTTCTGTACAAAGTTTAATTACAACAATCCAATGAGACCGAGCCTGGATTCGTATTCTGAACAGTTTAAACATGCTTTAAAAGAAGACGTGTGACTCAGTGAAAAAATCTGCACATGCAGGCACAGTTGACCCACCGACAACGCCGCGGCTGCTGTGGCTCCCAGTGTTTTTAGTGTGAAAAACAGGTAATAATGGCTCTTTGATTGGAAAAGGTTGCCAACCCCTGCCATAGGCAGAGCTCAGTCATAGGGTGTGACCTACAGCTGTCTTTCAAACTGTCTCCGCATGCAGTTGGACAATGAACAGCGTGACGTACTCCTCGCTACAAATGTCAGTCATCAGGGCATTGGGCCATTCACTGTTGAAGAAGATGCAAATATGTCCTTTTTCTAAATAAAGGACTAAAATACCTCTGTCTGCCCTTGACTCAAAGAAAAGTCCAAGTCTAAATAATCCAAAGTTGATGCCAAAGTTGTTTCAAGCCGCCGCCATCTTAGCTGTTGCTCTGTCACATAATCCTACCCACAAGACTAACAGAGCACTGATGTGCATAACACAAGACTGCTCAGGCCAATGAGCTGCTGAGGCTCCTACGGAGCATGGATAGACTAACATGCAGAGTGAAATCATTTTGCTTCATTTACAGTCTGTCTAGATTTTTAGGCTGGTTGTTTGTGGACTGGCGACCTGTCCAGGGTGCCCCCCGCCCTTCACCCAGAGACTGCTTGAAATGGGCTCCAGCTCCCTGTGACCCTACTGCTGATAAAGGGGTTCAGAAATTTGAATAGAATATACTTTATTGAGCCCATAGTGGGGAAATTCACTTGTTACAGCAGCACAAACACTTAAGAGAATAATTTGAAGAAAAATAATAACAAAGGTACACATATACCCATAGGCAGTATGCTATTATTGTAAACTTCGACCATAAAGGGCCACAGATAAAAATGAAAAACTTGGGTTCCAGCACCATGCAGAGTGAGGGACACAGACATACTTTGTAAACCTGGTATTGCACAAGTATTGAAGACATACTGAGTATTGCATTGGTGTTATTGTGTACCAGGATAATGGCAGTACCAGTTAAACTGTGGAGTTGTACACCCTAACAGCAGAGGGGATGAAAGATCTACGCTAGCATTTTGTTTTACACCTGCCATGTCTGTCTGTCTCTAAAGGAGTTGTCCATGGTCTTCACAGTGGAATGCAGTGGGTGGGAGGGTTACTTTTTTAAGATGGAGGTCATCTTCCCCAGCTTCCTCACTTCACACACCTCCTCAGCTGAAGCCAGTTGCTGTGACAGCTGCTGGTGTTTTAAGTGATGTTGTAGGTGAAGTTCGAGGTTTAGGAGGTGAAGAGAGAGGGTGAGAGCACCATACTCTCCAGTATACTGCACACAACCACCTCAGGCATACTGTTGTGCAGCCTCACATACTGTGGCCTGTTGGTGAGGTATTTGATGGCCCATGTAGTCAGATGTTAATCCACTCCTGCACCTTTGAGTGAAAGTGAAAGTAAGAATATTTTATTTAAGGTCCATCCCTATTCCCCTTTGTGGACTAATATAAAGATAAAACCTATGTGTTTTTCATGGTTCCTATCTCCAGCGGTCAACTGGCAATCAGGCAGGGTACACGCTGGACAGAGAGCCAGTCCATTGCAGGGCAACACAGAGACACACAGGACAAACAACCATGCACACACACACTCACAACTAAGGAGAATTTGGACATACCAATCAACCTGTCATGTTTTTGGACTGTGGGAGGAAGCCGGAGTACCCGGAGAGAACCCACGCATGCACAGGGAGAACATGCAAAATCCATGCAGAAAGATCCCAGGCCGGGAAGCGAACCCAGGACCTTCTTGCTGCAAGGCAACAACTGTAACCACGGCGTCACTGCGCAGCCCTGGCAAAATAAACAAAAGTTAGATCTATGGATGATTTTCTATCCAACTAAATGCTTGTTTTAAGTAACCGTGTATACACATCTGCCATTTTTGGTGTTTTCTAGTTAGTTTTTATAACATGGCTGAGGTTTGACACGGGACATCTTGTCCTTGGAACAGCAGGAGAATGAGCCAACGCAGCACATGTGAGCTTTCAATGATTGGCCTATAACAATTGGCATGCATTGATTAAGGGGTCTCCAGGGAAAGATTAACACACAACCTCAATCATTACCTCAGCAGTTTTTAAGCATCTCATTTTCATTGCGTTGTCCACACAACATGACTGAGGGTAAATGTGTCTTTGTCCCAATAAGCATTTGATATATAGCATGGTTACCAGGCCTAATGTGATAGATTGACAAAGATGGTGCTAAAAAGGAGTAAAATCTATGTGTTGTTCACGTAGACGAGGTCTGAACGGACTCATAAAGTAGAAAATGCTTTTAAAATTTAAGGAGAATTTTGTCATCAGTGAAGCAGATTGAAGGATCAGTGTTCAGCTTGGTTTTGGCTCCTGAATGGTTTTGTTAACTTGGGTGTTGTAGGATTCTCTTCATCCAAAGGAAAGTAGAGGCATATGTTGTTTAATAAAGGTGCAAACAGTTAATTAATAAATCAAAAGCACTATACATTTCTTTAGTTCATGGCTTAAGATTTATGGCATTTTCCCTGCTAAGGAATATCTGGTGTATATGTTTTGGCACAAGACCGGAAAGTCCAAGTATCATTTCATTGTTGTCATTTAGCATCAAGCTGATGCAAAGCTATGCAATAAAAGCCAAAAATAGCCTGTTTTTGTGAGATTAAATTAAATCTCAAGGAAATTGGTTCAAATTTTACTTTTGCACTTGCCCAAAACAATAGGTGACATCTTGGCTGGAGCCCTTGACATCATTGGCAGGACACAAAATGGAAAGAAGCAGTCAGTTGTGGTCACCTGGGAGGCACATCAATTGCATGAAAATTAGTATGCTAGCATCATACAGAAATGTATCTAAAGCAGCTGCATCAGCCTACAGTTTAGACTTGCACTGACAGATATTGACGTCAGGCGTTCATTGTGATGCCGGTGAGTTCTTTGCAAATTCTGGCCTGGCAGCTCTTCTACTGGTCTGGGAGCACGAGAGACTTGCTGTCCATGAATTGCCACAGACACAAAATCCTTGAGAAACCTCCAGCAGTGCGTCAGCCAGCCTCATTTTCTTCTGTGC